TTTTTTTTTTGGTTTTTCTCCGGTACCGGGAACCGAACTCACAACCTTGCGCTTGCCAGGCAGGCGCTTTGCCGCTGAGCTAAATTCCCAGCCCCTCTTTCCTTGCATTTTCCCTGGCTCACCTTTGAAGAACAGTCCATCAGTTTCCAGTAATCATCTCCTCAGTCACTGCTCTCTAACTCCAAGCCACAGTTCACTCCTCTCCTGACTTCCCTGGAGCCTGCACTGACGACACTTGTGTACCTTGAACAGTTTGCCTCATTGCCCAAGTCAAAAAAATGTGTACCTTTGGCAACAGGTCAGGGCTGGCAATCCCAAAACTGCCAAAGTGATTGGGTTCTGAAATACCTATACAAGTTTGAGACCTCACCCTGCTTTCCGCTCTAAGCTCCACGATTCCACCTGTGACTCTGATGCAGCAGTCTCTCCTCTACCCCACACAGACCACCCACGGACAGAACCACCCAAGGGTGAACAGGGATAGGGATCTTGGTATATAGATGTGTGGCCTCTGGCTAGAGAAGCACTTTCCTTTACTAGTATTTCCCTCAGACCCAGCATCATGAGACACAATTCCCTCAGCAAAGCTTCACAGAGAGCTTTTAAGGATGGAGTGAGAGAAGCACCAAAGACCTCGATAACGCGAATGCATTGCTGCAGTGAGCTAAAGGCAGGGAATTGAGCCATAGGGTGCCTAGAAGAACAGAAGGATCCAATGCTTGCACAAGACGCTTGGGCATTTAGTGGGTCACGGAGAATAGAGGGGCCACATGTAGAAGGCCCGCAGAACTATACTCCTGTACAGTGGATGGGCTGGGTCACAACAGAAAAGAACTCTCACTCTAGAAAATCCCAGCAGGCTTGAGAGACCAAAATATGGACAAACAGATCAACTCACAGATAAGACAGAAATAACCACAGGATTCTTAGAGCAACTAGACACCCTGAGAGCAGGATAAAGAATGGAAGCTTTAGGGGCTGAGAGGGGGTTGGCTGCTATTGAGTGTTCCCCGAGCGTCTGAGCCAGGGCGTGGGTCTCCTTCAACAGCATGTGAATTCCTAAAAGGTGACAGCTGGATGACACAGGTGAATGGATAGAGCTACCACGCTGGCTGGTCAGTACGTCTGAGGTCTCCAGGACCCAAGCAGAGAACGAAACCACTGGTATCTGTCGGGTTACCTCAGACCCGTTCCCTCCTACTATCCCTGCCAATGTACCGCGGTGCACGTCTCCTCACTTCTCTCCTGGGAGTCTGACAACAGTCTCCTACTTTTCTCTTTGCTGATACCTTCTTCCTACTCAGTTTCACTCCCATCCTTACCAACAGCGTCATCTTTCTACAACGATACTCTTCACTGTGCGGCCCAGTCCTTCAACTTCAGTTCTCAGCACAACACAGATCCTCGTCCATAATCCCCGACCCTCGCTTCACTGCCACTGTATCACCTACCCAGCTCATGAAGCTACAAGTTAGTGCTCCAATAACACCGTGTCGCTTTCAGTTCCCCAAGTGCACCAAGCTCTTTCATCTTTCCATATATTTGACTATGCTCCTCATTTTACCGAAAATGTACCTGGTAAGTATTTCCTTTAAGGGAGAACTCAAAAGTTCTAAAAAAATACCAAAATCCCAATGACTTTTTTCACAGAAATAGCAAAGTACATATTAACATTCATAGGTAATCTTAAGAGACCCCAAGGAGCCAAAACAATCATGAAATTCTTGGAAAAAAAAAAATAATAAAGTTTGAGGTCTCATGATATTGTATTTCAAAGTTTGTTATGACACTGCCATAATCAGAACAGTGTGGGACTGGCATGAAACAGACATTTGGATCAATGAAATGGAGGTCAAAAAATAAACTTTTACGTATACAAATCATTTTCAACAGGGGTGCCAAGACCACACAAAGAAGCAAAGTACTCTTTTTAATAAACAGAATTAGGAAAACTGGATGTTTGTATGCAAAAGAATGAAACTGGACTCTTAACTTTACTCCAAATCAAATATTAATTAAAAATGGATTGATACCAGGTGTGGTGGTGCACGCCTGTAATCCTAGCACCTGAGAGGCTGAGGCAGCAGGATTGCCTGTAACCCCAGCATTCGGGAAGTGGAGGCAGGAGGGGCTGATGCAAATTCAAGGCCAGCCTGGGCTACATAGTGAGTTCAAGGCCAACCTGGACTACAGAATGAGACCCTGTCTCAAAAAGGAAAAAAAGAATAAAAGTAGAAATGGACTGATGACCTAAATATAGTAGTTAACACTCTGACACTGCATTGTGTTTTGTTTTTTGGTACTGGGAATCAAACTCGGGACCTCGTGCTTGCTAGGCAGCGCTTGTGCTGCTGAGTTACATCCCCAGCCTAACACTCTGTAAAAGTAGATAAAATGGACTCTGTTAATATTAAAAACTTCTGTGCATCAAACAATAAAACAGAATGAAAAGGCAACATACCAAATGGAGGAAATATTTGTAAATTATGTTTTTGATAGGGGTTGAATGTCCAGACTATATAAAGAACTCCTATGACCCACCAAAAACCAAAAACAAACACAATTGAAAAATGGGCAAAGGGCTTGAACAGACATTTCTCTGAAGATACAGAAATAGTCACCTGAAAAGATACTCAACATCACTGATACAGAGATGCAAATCAAAACTACAATCAGATACTACCTCACCTTTAGGATGGCTACTATCAAAAGAGAAAGAAAGAGAGAGAGAAAGAGAAAAGGAAGGAAGGAAGGAAGGAAGGAAGGAAGGAAGGAAGGAAGGAAGGAAAGAGAGAAAGAGAGAAAGAGAGAAAGAGAGAAAGAGAGAAAGAGAGAGAAAGCAAGAAAGCAAGAAAGAAAGAAAGAAAGAAAGAAAGAAAAAAAAGGGCAAGCAATGGAGAGGAAGTAGAGAAAGTGGAATACTTGTGCACTGTTGGTGGGAAGGTAAAACTGTATAGCTGTTAGGGAAAATAATATAGAAGTTCCTCTAAAAATTTAAAATACAATTATCATCATGACCTGGCAATTCCATTTCTAGATATATACACAGTCCAGCAAAAAATATATATATACACATACTTCAGGAAAAGAAAAATAGTAGATGTTTTTTCAACAGATGCTGTTATCCTCATGGGGGAACCCTAGAGGATGTTGCATATCACATAAAACCCACTACACTACCAGTCCTTAGAGAAGAAATTGAAAATGTGTGTGTAGCAATCTCAATGACGAAGGTTACCCAGGCAGCAGTCTGCCCTACTAGTAAATGTCTGGAAGGAAATGGCAAAAGTAATTTGTATGAATCTCATGATGTCTCAGTAAGTTTAGTATTAAAATATTTATACAAGTTTTTCTTTTCCTCAAGTGTGTATACATTTTTTGGCAGACTCCATACACACACACACACACACACATTATATATATATATAATATATATATATATAATATATATATATATAATATATATAATCTCAGTGTTCATCCACAGATGGACAGATAAAATATGGTATAAATCTAAGAGACGATTATAGCCTTAAAAAAGAAGGAATTCTGACACATGTTACAACACAGGTGAGCTCTGAAAACACTATGCTAAGTGAAGTGATCCAGCCACAAAAGGACAAAGGCTATATGACTCCATAGTGTGAAAGCCTATAGTAGGCAAATCCACATAGACAGAAGGTAGAACAGTGGTTGTCAAGGCTGGGCGAAGCCGGACAAAGAAAGTTACTATTTAATGGGCACAGGGTCCAAAGTTTCCGTTTTGCAAACTCTAGATGAATAGTGGCAATGGTTGCAAAATAATGGAAGTGTATTTAATGCCACTGAACTGTACACTTAAAAATAAGCTAAGATGGTAAATAATTCCAGGTACCTCATATCACAATACCACTACTACTAATAATAATAAAGTATTGGTGAGGTACAGTAGTAAATTTTGAAGGTTGCTTCATTTAGAGAATCCTGCAAATTTTAATCCCCAGTTAATGGGAACGGTAGCAGAGCTATGTTTTAGTAGTATTAAAATTGAAGTCAGGCCAGCATGTCTATAATCCCAGCACTTGGGAGGCTGAGGCAGAAGAGTGAGGTTAGCCTGGGCCACACTGTGAGTGCAAGGCGAGCTATGTGACATACACAGCAAGATCCTGTCTCAAAAACAGAAAAACAAATTTTAAATTGAAGTTAGTAAAATTCTAATCCATATCACATAAACATTTAATTCTAAAATATTAATTAAATATTTTTATCTTATATTAAAAATTTGGACAATAAGTTAAGTATAATACATCATATTTATATACTACAACATATCAATAGATGGGAAATTTGTGTTAAATGTACTAAAAATTCATGATTAAAACTAAGGCCTACCACACGAAGCTGTCTCTCTCTGAACCCTGCAGATGCCTTTCTATAGCTAACCAGTATCCAAATAGTCTTCTAGCACTGTACCTATAATATTGCGATTACAATGTGCAGCTTACACATTTGTCTTCTAACCTGAAGAGGCAGCTTACAACTCCTGGTTGCCCAAACACCGTATGATGCTTCACAAAAAGAAGGTTTCGAAAGGCTGGCTGGGGGAAAAGAGCAATCAACCATGAGGTTTATTTTCCTAGGCCTCAGGGAGTGTTTCTGACAGGGTTGAGGTGCAGCCACCTGGAGACTGAAAGTCTCTGAGTGGGCGGCAGGCAGAGCATACCCTCAGGGCTGTGTCGGGGGCACATGCAAGCCTGAGCCTTACCATGGCACAGGCTTTTCCTGCAGGGCTCCCATACCCCCAGTGCCAAAGGACAGGATTGCAGGTGCCCCCAGCAAGATGTAGAGGGACAAAGAAGGCAAGCTAAGGCTGAAAACAGACAACCCCAGAATGTCCCAAGCTAGAGGACAACCTTCGTGGAAGAGTTTCCATGGTCCACAAGGTACGAGTCACCTGAGAACACAGGTTGGCACACTGTCTTGGTTACTTTTCTCTTGTTGCTGAGACAAAATACTTGACGCCCAATATTAAAGAGGGAAAGGTTTATTTAGCTCACAGTTTGTGAAGGTTTCAGTCCATGGTCAGCTGGCTCCAAGGCAGAGTGGCACACAGCAGAGCATAACAGTTCATGGCAGCAGAAAACAGCAAAAGCAACAAGAGCGAAAGGGAGGAGCAGTGGCAAGCAGCCTCTTTCCCTCCCTTATATTGTATACAAACTATTTGCCCCAGGGCAGGTGTAACACTCACATCCATAATCCCAACACGGGGCCATGAATCAATCATCAGCTCTAGAAGCCCACCCCATGACTGCATGAGGCTTTGGGGGGACATTCAGACACAAACCATAACACACACCTTTTCCAGAGAGGGCTGAGAGCAAGTATTTTAGACTTTGAGGGTCACACCGTTTCCCTCACAGCTACTCAACTCGTCATGTAGTACAAAAGCAACCGCAGATGTACCAATGAATAAGTGTGGCTGTATTTAGGAAAAAAACAAAACCCTTCATTTACAAAATAGGCAGAGGTCTCAATTTGGTCCATGGGCCATAGTTTGCAGATGCCTGGCCTACTCTGTACTTCTCAGGGTATAATCCAAGAAGGTGGCAGTAACATTACTTGGGAGCTTATAGATCTGCATAAGCTTGAACACAACCCCAGACCTACTGAACCGAAATCTCATTTTATAGGATGCCCCACTGAATTTGACAAGTGCTGTTCCACATGACCTCCGGATACCCTTCTACACAGGAGCAGAAGACCAGGCAAGTTTCACTGAGTGCCTTCTTCATAAAGCTGACCTGGGCTAGGCAGACTTTTCCTCACAGACCTTGCTATGTAGCTCAGGTTTCTTAGTGATTACAGAGTGCCTGAGAGGGCACACCTGGCCAGAAGACAGGACTCAGCAGAGACAATGCATTCAGGAAGCTGCCAGTGAGAGAGGTTTGTGAAGTAGATATGAACCCAGAGCTGAACTCTGTTCTCAAATCCTTCCCTCTGGGCGCTCCTTTAACAGCGATGGACCAGCTCCAGGTGGCTCTGCACACTTCCCATTGACAGCGGGCCCTACAATTCAAATATGTCTGCATCTCCTCCCCAAATCTAAAGCACTCATCATCCAAGCACAGTGTCATCCTCTGCTCCTCTAGGAAGCCTTTCATCACTGGTGAGCTCCTGGAGTAGTAGTGGTTCTTAATCCCAGGGCAGTTTTTCCTTTCAGAGGATTTTGACAATGTCTGGGGACATTTTGCTTGTCACAGATACTCTGGGTACTGGGGTGGTGATACTGTTATCTAGAGAGGCGGGGCCTTGCGACGCTGCTGAACGTCCTGTGTTACATAGCGCAGGCCCCTGCCACAAAGAATTGCATGGTCCAAAATGATCAGAGTGCCAAGGTGAGAAACCTATTCTAGACCAAACAGTACCTTTTTATTGACCAGGCTGAACAGTTCTCAGGATTTATGAGTCTCATGAGCATTACTAAAATAGAAAGATGTCAAATAGGGGTGCCTGGCAGCTCCCAGGGCTTTCATCAGGGCAGCATGAATCCAAACCCCAGGCCAGCAACTCGTTCTCTGTGACAAAAGCAACTGGACTCTGGGAGAACGGGTCACAAAGTTCTCAAAAGGATACATCATGAACCAAAGCTAGTGTATTAACTCCTATCTGCACAGCCACCTGGCACAAGATCTAGGTTGGGTCCTCCTCGACACTTGACGATGCTGGGAATCATGGTGGTTAGGACAGAATTACAGCTAAGAAGCTGCCATGGCTTTTTGCCAGTGAGAACCCACTGGGTAAATCCCACACTTTGCTAGGGAAAAAAATCATTTCTAGACAACACTGTAGGATCAGTCAACCAGCAGGACAGCACCTACTAATTCTTATGTTACTCTACAACAGCTTTCTTTCATCCACGGTTCAAAGTTCCTTTATCTAATTATGGACAAACTGCTGTACAATTGAATGAAACAGCTTCTTCCCAGCACTTCTGTCCCAGAATAGTGTCTTCTTGACCACATGCTGTTCTCTTGATGAAGATGACAATAAACTCTGTCTTGTGAACCCTCTTGGATCGAATGGGTAATTGGATGCATCTTATTGGCTTCTATTTTAGAGGTAATCTCATTCCCACTGTTGCAAACGAATATTCTCTGCAGCCTTAAGTCCACTCATTTATGCCGTGTATATGCAGTGAATGGCAAAGGGGAAAGTGAAATGCATCTGCTGGTAATAGATTTCTTCTTATATTTCAGGAGCAGTGGTGAGTGTTCCCTGGCATACAAATCCCCAGGCAGGTGACTATCTCATTGCATAGTGCTTAGGAAGTGTAATCTCATTGCTATAGATACCTGGAGTCGGATGTGCCGTCAGGAGGGGAGAACTAGCCGGTAAGAACAGGTCATCCCCAATGGTGCTGATTCCAGCCAGTAAAGGTTCTAATCTTGGTTGGCCCCCGATGGTTTCTGAAAGAAGAAAGAAACAGCACAAAAACATCACACAGTCAGGAGACTGCATCATGCCTTGGATCTGGCGTTGTCATGATCCAACAGAAAAGCCTTGGTAGTGAGTGTCTGGATGCTTGGAGAGCAGGACAGCCTCGCCTCGGAGGACAAAGCCCATTCCCAGAGTTCAAGCTGGAACATGGGTTACAGAAACCAACCTCCCAGGTCACTGCAGGAAGATGCAAGGGGTGAAAAATCAAAGACATGTGCTTCCTCTTCCCTCTCACCAGCCAACACTCACTCACCAACTACGGTGGTCTGGCCCCTCCCTCGGTGCAGTCTGCAGCACAACCTCCCTGGAACAGGAAGGGAGGGAATTCAGTTCTCAGAGAGCGGCACCCAAATGGACCATGAAATGAAGTCTCACGCAATTGTGTGCAGGCACTAAAAACCTGTAAATGCTGATATGTGTGTTCCGCCGGCCTGTTCCTCTAGATGGAAGGCCTCTGCTCAACCCAGCCCAGGGGGCCCCTCTCTGTCAACAGCTTCATTTTAAGTGTGGAGGAAGAATGAGATCAGCTATGGAGCTCCCGGAGCTCTGAGCAGCCCCACCACGTGCGTACACACTCATTCATCTGTCCCCCTGGCGTCCTGCCAGCCCCTGCAGCATCCTGCCTGTTTGCAGCTTTGTAGATAATCATCTCAGCTGCTTCTGCTCCACAAAGGGTTTGCAGCACGCTTCTAAGTCCCTTTCATGAGTCAAGAGAGTAAGGGCAAAAGAAAAAGGAAACGTGAAGCGCGAAATTGGTAGTTTGTTACACACTCCTGTGCCTACGTGCAGAAGCAGGTGTGGAGATTCACGGGTCCACTGTTCTGCAGAGCAGCCTCTTGGAGCCTGAGAGGCACAGGGTCTACTAGAAAAGCAGCTCCAACACACAAGTGGGTTGAACATACGTGCGGGGGGCCGCAGAGAAAATACCGAGCAGAGGGACTTCCTTTTTTTTTTTTTTTTTTGTCTTTTTGAGACAGGTTCTCACTCTGCAGTTCAAGCTGGCCTTGAGCTCACTTTGTAGCCCAGGCTGGTCTTGAACTCCCAACAAGCCTCCTGCCTCAGCCTCCCGAGTGCTGGATTACAGGTATGCGCCACCACACCCGGCTAGGGGACCTCCTGATTTTCTCCATAAGACTGGTGAGGACCTGTGGACAACACATCAATGTGACAGCCTGTCAGCCACTTGGTTTTCTTTGCTCCGACAGTCATTCCTCCAACCCACTGCCACAAATCACATCCGGGACCTTGCCATCACCTGGAAAGGTGGTCTGGTCACCTCTGAGGTCAGAGCCCCTGAAGGTGAACCCCTTAATGAGAGAGACCCTATCTTCATTCCTCTTGGTTCTCAAAGCCTCCCACAATACATGCATAGAGCCAATGCTCAGTGACAGAAATGACACACTAGGAAGGCCCACTCTTCAATGAGAACTTTCTATCCCACTGCTCCATGCCTGGAATGAAAGTCAGTGTACTGCCCAGCCTCTCGGAGACTTCTCACCCTCTTTACAGTCAGTCCAGTTTAACACTCTCATCCCCGTTCACCTGTTCTCCACGCAACCTGGCTGCTACAGCTGCAACATGTCATGCTTTCACCAGCTCCCTTCTGTCGCCCTCCCCTAGCCCTGGACCTAACCCTAAACCCCACCAACTGTCGCCTACCTATTCTCCTGCCCATATGCTAAGGGCTTCAGGAAAAAAAACTACTTGTATTTACATAATTGCAAATAGAAATTTCATGTGTAATGTGTATAAATGAACTTCCTTTCAGTTTCTTTCTCATCATCTTCTTCCCACAGGATCATTTCTTGGTCTTTTGGCTAAGATCAAGTGTAGGACTTTCTTCCCATAGCAGGTATGGTCGAAAAATACAAGGAATGCTTTCATTCTTTTCAAAAGTGTATTGTAGTAAAAAACCTGTTGTCATTAATTTCCCTCAAACTACTCCCTTCACTTCAAACACATTTATCCCATCATCTTCACACCCTCTGAAGCAGTTCTGGAAGTCCTCTTTTGTGAGTGTCTTTCATTGCTGGTAAAGTGGCCATGGCGGAACAAATCAGCTCTATGCTTCCCATGATTACTCCAAGATGGAGACTATGAGCTGGTTATTGAGGACCTCACATCTCATCCTCTCCCAGTACAGTATCTGGCATATAACTGCTTTGAAACAAGCACCATCATATAATGGCTGCTCAAGTTTCTGGGGTTAAGATTGCCAGACACAGGCTTTAAAAGAGAATCAACAGTTTCTGAACCATCAAGGTTATTTATATAACTCCAGAGACACTGGCAAGAGCTTTGTCTTGGTTTGAATGTAAAAGCTGATTTACAAAACTGGAGTTTGCAGACAAGACTCACATCATGGCCACAGATCATGGGCATCCCAGTGCTGTTACAGTGGGGAATCTAACACAAAGCTAGTGCTTTCACATAGGACTGAGCAGAGGTCAGTAGCAGGAATAGCTTACGAAAAGACTTTAAATTTGTAATACACTGTGATATCTTCCAGCCTGGAGTCACGCTGCCTTTCTATTCCAAGACAGGGCCTGCTTGTCTTAAGCCAATAAATATTTAGTAAACCCCACTAGAGCCATTTATTTCATAAAGCATTCTGCTGCTAACAAGGGACTGAAATGCTCTAAAAAAAGGTCCATGACTTAGTCACTTCTGTGTCCAATGCTTGACTCACAATAAGTGCTTCCTGTGAATGAATGAATCTAGAAAAGAATTAATGTGAACAGTGAGACAGATTTGCAACTTAGTTACACATAAACCAAATAAAGATAATGTAAATTAAGTGGTGCAGGGGTACTTAGAAATGAGTAATTGGGCTGGGGATATGGCTCAGTGGTAGAGTTCTTGCCTTGCATGCACAAGGCCCTCGGTTCGATCCCCAGTACCACAAAAAAAATAAAATAAAATAAAATAAACAAGCAAATAGAAATGAGTAATCAGTTCCAATAATGGGGCAGCAGTGGTGAGAACCCATGAAGACTTCACAGCGGGTAACATTCAAACTGAATGCTGAACTACACAATATTAATTTAATTACTAATTATACCAACAGCTCACATTTATTGAGAGCTTCCTCTGCAACCATGCAATTTGCTGAAAGATTTATGAACAATATTTAACCTAAGCCTCACAACAAGCCTGTGATGCAGGTGGGATAATTTTCAGTTTTCAAATGAAAAGACCATGGCACGTAGAGGTAAAGTTGCTCAAGATCACCCAGCTAGAAAAGGCTGGTGCTGGAATTTAAAGGTAGGCATCCCAATTCCAATGACTTAACTTCTCAACTATCGTTTTCAAGAGTAAAGAAAGACACTAACGGCAGAAGGAAGAACATGAGCTAAAGCATATGGCGTACCTGAAGCAAGGGGGTAGGAAAAGGGACTCAACAGAAGTTGCTGCTGGAAAAGCAAAGTTGGAATTGGAGATCTCCAGTGCCTGTGGATGTTGAACTTGATTTTATGGGTAATAATATTGGCAGGACAGTGACATGGTCGGTTCGGCTTTCTAGGAAGGAAATGCTTGTGAAGCATAGAAGATGTGTTGAAGAAGCCAGAGATGGTCTGAAAGGTTCATTAGGGGGTTAAGCAGTCCTAAAGAATGATGAGCATAAAATACTAAGGGGATGAAGTAGTTAAAGGAGCTAGCAATCTACACATGCGGTACAGACCAAGAAACACAAACACCTGACAAAAAGCCTGCTCTCTCCAGTCAAAATACCAACAAAGAAGCATCTAGAAAGGCAGGCAACTTTTCTTTTCCCATACCCCTTTGTTCTTTACTCTTCTGATGAAACAGAAGTATAAAAGGGGTGTCAAATAGAAAACAGAAAATAAACAGACCTAGCGCAGACTTTGGCTACTGACATTTTTTTTTCCTCTTTCTTAATTTTTTTTTTTTCTTTTTGCAATTGGTAGTGCTTGGAGTATATAACGACTACATTCGTCATGGAGAATCACTACATGTGCCTAACACTTTAATGCTTTCTACTTCCTCTCTACGCCCTCCTTCAGCGCTTAGTCAAAGTAGGAAATTCTTAAACACCCAGTCTACTCCAGTCAAAAAATGGTGGCCTCGCCCACAACCACACCAGCAAAGCCTGAGTCAAAAGCTTAGACCTCCACCCTCAAAGGACCATAACAAGAAGCCTCGGTGTCCATGCCAGACTGATGACAAAGAAGGCCAAGCAGGGACACAGCTGGTAATGAGTTACACTCCCTGGCAATACTGGGGAGTTAGTCCATTTTGTGTTGCTGTAGCACAGTAGTACCACAGACTGAGTAATTTACACAGAAAACTCAAAATCCTTAAGAACACAGACACAGAGAATCTTTAACATAATATCCACAAATAGAATTCAATAACCTGTAAAAGTGGTTTTTTTCATGAGCTTATTCCAAGGACATTAGGTTTATACTGTATTCAAAAATTAATGATGTAATCTGCCATAACAGTAAGCTAAAAAGGAAAAGTCACACTGATTGATGCTCAGTTTTGGAGACTGGAGTCTAAACAGTGTACCACAGACTCTGGCAAGGTCTCTAGATCACCACAAGGTGGAAATGCATGTGAGAGGGGGCCAGCACAGAGCAGACAGGAAGCCAAAGAGGGACAAGGGACCAATTAGGGTCCTATGAGAACTACCTTAACCCCTTCCAAGGACACTCTTCTAATGACTTAAGGTACTTCTGCTAAAAGGTCCTCTTCAAGGTCCCACTACCTCCCACATAGCCAACTGGAGACCAAAACTCCACACATAAACCTTTGGGGGACAAATCTTAGCCAAACCATAGCAGAGCTCAATGAATAGTAATTATAATTTTTATGTGCCAATGGTATATGATACCATTTAGAGCCACATTTCCTTATCTTTTTATATCTGAATAGATACAAACACAGGCTATGGCTTGTGCCTCACAGACTTTGCCAAGAGAGCTTACTTTTATCAAATGAGTAACATGTCCAAAAGATGTGAAAAACAGCCCGGTCCTAGCATTTCATTGTACAAAGCCAATGGTGAGTTTCCACAGCTGCTGGCTTCAGCCTACCCAGAGGAATACTTTAGTGAAATATTAATCTCCAAGAAAGCCACACTGGGATAAGATTGCACAGTAATTCAAGCAGCATGTGCAAAATTTATTTAGTGTGGTCAGGAATGGTTTTTATTATGTGAAGACTTGAGAATGAGAATAAAGTGATTGAAGATGTTTAACTAAATCAGTCCTACAAGCTCTGGATGCTCCCAGCCCTCTCCAGTTTGAGTTTATTTCTGCAGTTCCCAAATCCTAAACA